CAAGACTATGTAACCTAAAGAAGCAATAAATTTGATATCCAATCAGGAACTTTCAATCAACACAACCACCACCCGAGAAGCAAAACCAAGCAATTTATCAGTACTTACAAACTACACTCCGCCAGTACACCCTCTTATCATCAGACCGCTGTGCAGCTCCAGAGACCTCCCCAGCTACCGTGGCAACAGAGCAGTTCTATCTCAATCCCTTGCGATTCTACCACCCTGCACCCCAGAGCACCAGCATACTCCTCATCTTGCATAACCAGGGTTCTACGGCAAGCCAGAAAACTTTAATTTCTTTGATACCTAATAATTTAGCACAAACAAGTTAATAAAAATCCATGGAGGAATAATCCAACTTAATCAAAGTTGTTGAGGCATTTCGTCAAACAGGTTAGGGACAACAATTTAGCACAAACAAGTCCATGGAGGAATATACAATATACTCTATCTTCCAAGTGCTAAATTGCATAAACCCTAAATTAATTCCAAAATTTACCTGATTTGGGGGAGAACCGATGAACAGTGAGATCGAAAAAGAAATCAGCGATGTGGGAGGAAGTGAGGGATGAGAGGTGAGCCACTTGTCTGCGAGACTGAGAGAGAGAGTGAGTTCGAGGAGGGTCTGAGATTTGAGGGATGAGAGGTGAGGATGGTTTGAGATTTGAGGGTGAAAGGTTTGAGGTGAGCGTTCAAACTTGGACAAACTGAGGATGAAAAATGAGCATCCAAACTTAAAAGGGAAATAAAATTAAAAATTTGAAGAAAAAAAAAACGCGCCTTTTTTTTACTATTGCACCGCCAAAATTATCACAACTGGCGCGACGTACGTATACAATTTGACGTCACGCAAAGTGGTTTTGCGCGACGATCACATTAAGGCGTCGCGCAAAGTTTTTTTTTTTTTTTTAATTATTAAAAAAATTACTGAAAATGTGATTTTCTTCCTTTGAAATTCAAATTTTTTTTTACATAAACCCCACTATAATATATTTTTCTAACAAATGTGGTTTGATGTTATACGTATACAAGATGGAATTCATTAATTGATAAATGTGGTTGAATGTGGAATTCATTGATAAAATCATAACCAACTCTACACATGGGTTTGTATGAAAACAGCTCCATATAGAAAAACGTGACAATTAATTGTATGAAGCAAACTATGAACGGCTTCTTTGGCAGGGTTCCAAGAAAGTGCCTGCAAATTAACAATGTCCTCATTCGGATATTGCTATTTTTTGCCCAAGAAAATCATGAGAAATCGCTATCATCCACGAGTTAGACAGACATCATGGAGATTTGATACAAATATTGGTTAATTAAGCAAGATATTTAGGGTGCGTTTGTTTCACCTTTTTAGGAATGATTGGCATAAGTAGGAGCATAATACTATGTTTGGTGAGTCCTCGGACTAAAATATATAAGTGGGATTCACCTTGACTACGAGGCCTTCCGGGGAAAATGAAAATGTTAAGAAAAGTTGAAAATGAAACAAAAAAGTGAGAAAATTAGGGAAAGATGTTGGAGGGAAAAGTGAAAATGATAAGAAAAAATTAAAAAGGAAACAAAAAAGAGAGGAAAAAATAAAAATTAATAGAAGTGGTGAGAATTTTTTTTTTATTTTTTTTAAAGTTATTAACTTTTTATCAAACACATGACTGTCATGACATATCTCACTATTTTTGTAAATGACACACGTGACACGTGATGTATGTACTATTCCATGTACTAGTCAATTATAATTTATACGTACAAAATAAATAGATTTAAATCTACTTAATAAATATATATATACACACACACACACACGGAACTTGATTGATGGCATACGAATTCTCCAAAACTAATTTCAACGATCCAAACCGTCAAAATTGTTTGTATATGCTTGGAGATCACATCAGCAAAAAATCACAAAAAAAAAACATTCAGAGATCAAGTAACGGGACAAAGCTTTTCAACGGTTATAAACGAAAAATCACGATTTAACGGTTATTTTAACTCCGATTTTGATGATTTTTTATAACTACACTCCTTGACCCTATATGAATACAATGAACGAATTCGATCTTCAATTTAAAATATTTACACAAGTGGATACCACAAAATCTTATGTTATACTTAATGAAAGTATAAAATAAACTCTAAGTGTTAGTCAATCTATCGTTTTACGAATTCTCCAAAACTAATTTCAACGATCCAAACCGTCAAAATTGTTTGTATATGCTTGGAGATCACATCAGCAAAAAATCACAAAAAAAAAACATTCAGAGATCAAGTAACGGGACAAAGCTTTTCAACGGTTATAAACGAAAAATCACGATTTAACGGTTATTTTAACTCCGATTTTGATGATTTTTTATAACTACACTCCTTGACCCTATATGAATACAATGAACGAATTCGATCTTCAATTTAAAATATTTACACAAGTGGATACCACAAAATCTTATGTTATACTTAATGAAAGTATAAAATAAACTCTAAGTGTTAGTCAATCTATCGTTTTACGAATTCTCCAAAACTAATTTCAACGATCCAAACCGTCAAAATTGTTTGTATATGCTTGGAGATCACATCAGCAAAAAATCACAAAAAAAAAACATTCAGAGATCAAGTAACGGGACAAAGCTTTTCAACGGTTATAAACGAAAAATCACGATTTAACGGTTATTTTAACTCCGATTTTGATGATTTTTTATAACTACACTCCTTGACCCTATATGAATACAATGAACGAATTCGATCTTCAATTTAAAATATTTACACAAGTGGATACCACAAAATCTTATGTTATACTTAATGAAAGTATAAAATAAACTCTAAGTGTTAGTCAATCTATCGTTTTACGAATTCTCCAAAACTAATTTCAACGATCCAAACCGTCAAAATTGTTTGTATATGCTTGGAGATCACATCAGCAAAAAATCACAAAAAAAAAACATTCAGAGATCAAGTAACGGGACAAAGCTTTTCAACGGTTATAAACGAAAAATCACGATTTAACGGTTATTTTAACTCCGATTTTGATGATTTTTTATAACTACACTCCTTGACCCTATATGAATACAATGAACGAATTCGATCTTCAATTTAAAATATTTACACAAGTGGATACCACAAAATCTTATGTTATACTTAATGAAAGTATAAAATAAACTCTAAGTGTTAGTCAATCTATCGTTTTACGAATTCTCCAAAACTAATTTCAACGATCCAAACCGTCAAAATTGTTTGTATATGCTTGGAGATCACATCAGCAAAAAATCACAAAAAAAAAACATTCAGAGATCAAGTAACGGGACAAAGCTTTTCAACGGTTATAAACGAAAAATCACGATTTAACGGTTATTTTAACTCCGATTTTGATGATTTTTTATAACTACACTCCTTGACCCTATATGAATACAATGAACGAATTCGATCTTCAATTTAAAATATTTACACAAGTGGATACCACAAAATCTTATGTTATACTTAATGAAAGTATAAAATAAACTCTAAGTGTTAGTCAATCTATCGTTTTACGAATTCTCCAAAACTAATTTCAACGATCCAAACCGTCAAAATTGTTTGTATATGCTTGGAGATCACATCAGCAAAAAATCACAAAAAAAAAACATTCAGAGATCAAGTAACGGGACAAAGCTTTTCAACGGTTATAAACGAAAAATCACGATTTAACGGTTATTTTAACTCCGATTTTGATGATTTTTTATAACTACACTCCTTGACCCTATATGAATACAATGAACGAATTCGATCTTCAATTTAAAATATTTACACAAGTGGATACCACAAAATCTTATGTTATACTTAATGAAAGTATAAAATAAACTCTAAGTGTTAGTCAATCTATCGTTTTACGAATTCTCCAAAACTAATTTCAACGATCCAAACCGTCAAAATTGTTTGTATATGCTTGGAGATCACATCAGCAAAAAATCACAAAAAAAAAACATTCAGAGATCAAGTAACGGGACAAAGCTTTTCAACGGTTATAAACGAAAAATCACGATTTAACGGTTATTTTAACTCCGATTTTGATGATTTTTTATAACTACACTCCTTGACCCTATATGAATACAATGAACGAATTCGATCTTCAATTTAAAATATTTACACAAGTGGATACCACAAAATCTTATGTTATACTTAATGAAAGTATAAAATAAACTCTAAGTGTTAGTCAATCTATCGTTTTACGAATTCTCCAAAACTAATTTCAATGATCCAAACCGTCAAAAATGTTTGTATATGCTTGGAGATCACATCAGCAAAAAATCACAAAAAAAAAAACATTCAGATATCAAGTAACGGGACAAAGCTTTTCAACGGTTATAAACGAAAAATCACGATTTAACGGTTATTTTAACTCCGATTTTGATGATTTTTTATAACTACACTCCTTGACCCTATATGAATACAATTAATGAATTCGATCTTCAATTTAAAATATTTACACAAGTGGATACCATAAAATCTTATAAACGAAAAAACACGTTTGAAGCTATTCTTTCTTACTTAAATTCGAGTAAATGGTTGCACAAGTACGCTGAGGACACTACTCATTATATTGAATCATTGCGACTTGACTTTCGAGTTTGGATACCCCCACCGTCCTCCAAAGAAAAGATTGCTACTTTTTTACTTTGACAACCAAAGATTGCAACTTGACAATCCAATGATACCAAAGTTGCAAACTTTCTAGACTCATCTTGTTTGTTTTTCTTTTTGAAAAAGCTTTTTATACAAAACGATATTAAGTTACAATATCTCTTTTTTATTTTATTTTATATTTTATTACTCGTTTAAGTGGCTCTTTTCAGTGTAATGATATTCATTACATAAGTGATCAGTTATTTAAGCGAAAAATTTTATATTTGAATTTCGAAACGTTGAAAGGTGAATTCTGCCCCTTATTCATTTACTTCTAAGGATATGGTATATTAAAATAGAAAAACAATGATAATTGAAAGAAAAAAAATTGCGTGGCCACTAGGATACTCTTTAGTTACGGGCTTGATTTCGGGTTTGTGAATTGTGATGAGTTGGGTGATGAGTCGGTATTGATTTTAAGGAAGTTTAAGGAGATGGGTTGCTCCTCTCGTTGTTTCTCTCTCTAAAACTCGGCCGCAACCGGTTCGATTCTCCACCCTCCTCCCCTCTGCTTCCGCCTTCGATCGCCAGTCAGGTATAGCACTAACCTCCACCCCACCATACTTTCGATACTCTTTGTTTCCTTTTCTCGTTTTATGAATGTTTCTCGGGCGCAAATTAATGGAACCCATCACTCAATTTTTTGTGTTTTCATGGTTTTTGTCTAAAGTTTATAGCTTTAGTTCACGCTGTATTGTGGAATTATATGATGTGTGTTGTTTAAATTTGATTTTGACATCATCAAATTCCGAGCATTTCTCAGTTGCATTACTTGTGGCTTTATGATTTTTGGGTCGTAGGTTGTATGTTTATCTCTTCCAGTTTAACAAAATTGGTGTTGCTCTGCCCATTTGCCGTTCATGGTTACTCCATTTTGTAGTGTTGTAGTAGATTTCAGAGTCAGTAGATTGCGTTTTTGTTCTTGTTAAGAGAAAGTTAATTGAATATGCTTTTGACAAAGAAAGAAAGTAGAATATGCTTTTGACAAATTTTCCGGTAGCGGTGTCAACTACGACTAGTCTAGTCTCTATCTAATGGTCATTAACTTCCTGATGAGTTTATGTTGAATAATGTAATCCGTGAAACCTTTTGCCATGCTCAGGATGAGCGCAAAAGTAACTTCTTTCCTCACATTAATGCGTAACATGAATCTGGGAAAGAAACTGTGTGGTTTTGTCAGAAATCTTAATTCTGTTCGTAAGTTACATTTCTCCCAATTCCATGATGAAAGTTCAGGTTGATGGGGTATTTCGATTAATGGGGTATTTCGATTTGATTCCCAGGTTGAGACCCGGACATTTGAGGAGATAGAAAAGGTATTGGAATATGCATCTCAAACAAAGACTTCCTTGACGCGGATAATGTTGGATAATATGGTTGTACCACTACCAAATGGGGATGTTGATGTATCCATGCTCGAACAAGCTGTGAAATTGATTGATCGGAGATTCGAAACTGAGGTAGCTTAAGTTATTTTTTCAGTTTTTTCTATTATCTATAACCAATGGTTTTGCTAAATTTGTTTTCCTTTAGTCCTAAAAACTGATATAACTTAAAGCTCCTTACATGCACATCTGTAAAGTGCTTCAAAGCATCCGATTTCTTATAACATTTGCCATGCCAGTCCATAATCTTGGTGTAGATAATGTGGATTGTTAGGCTGTATGGAACTTTCCATAAACATCTTATATAGTAGTTTCACTATTTTCTTTTAAGGACTCTTTCTTTGTATCTAGGTTAAAGAAATATTACTAATCGCATGGATTCGATTTTTCCCTTTTTATTTCTGACTTATCTGCTTCACTGCAACAGGCATCTGGTAATGTTACTCTTGAAACCGTACACAAGATTGGACAAACAGGGGTTGACTTCATTTCTAGGTAACGGCGCAGCTTCCTAATCTGTCATTAAGCCTGCTGGCTTGGCATGACTTAAGCTGTTTGGTCTGTCGTTGGGAGTTCTTTAAATGAATAGTAAATCATTCTGCCTTCTTCTTCTTGGCCATGTTATAGTTCCATTTTAATCATCCTCACTTCACATCTGCTGCTTGTAGATATGGTGCACTGCTGCTCCGTTGAAATAAGACGGTGGCAGTGTGTAATCTCATCGCTTGAGGTTGTGAAAATTGCATCTCATTGCAAATAGGCTGGCAGGGACAACATACGAAATGATATTTTACCGATATTATGGTTCAGTCATCGTTAGTATATTCTTGGCATGGTTTACAAAGTGCAATTTATGTTTGCAGTGGTGCACTGACTCATTCTGTAAAGGCTCTAGACATCTCCCTCAAGATTGATACGGAGTTGGCCCTTCAAGTGGGAAGGCGTACAAAACGGGCATGATCGAGAAGTTATCGGCCGGCTAAGGTGGTGACTTCGAACTTGTCAACAGTTGGTACAAAACCCTCTTATGGGAGCCTAATGTATCTTATAGACAGGCATGCCCCTTTCGCTTGACCTCGTGCCGCCAGACGAGCAACATGCCCCTTGGAAGTTTTGAACAAGTCTTCAACATTATACTATTACTTCAATTTGAACAAGTCTCATGTCATGAATTGAGATATATTCTGCAGCAATTTCTGAAGTTTTTGATTCCCATTTGACAAATGATAAGACGACGACGATGCCGATGACGGCGCATGCATCCTTGAATAATATCGATGGATTTATCGATTTAAATAAGAAATAGTTGCTACTGTATTGTGTACCTAATTGCTGTTGTACTGCAAAATACAGTAGAGCTTTGAAATATACAAAGCATTTGACAAGTTGTTCATGCAATACGATAAATAATACATTATCCATTTATCCTAAGCTCGGTTCTTAATTGCAGTAGACATGTGAGTTAGTTTGTGATCCTCTGCACACTTTGTTTAACTTGGTGACTTCACACTTTTAGTGAATGAAATTATGTTGAAGATAAACTAGCTGGAATTGATCCTTCTTTGGAGTGTGATTGTCATGGTGTTTTGTGGTTGTAACTTGTAGGCAGGAGCGGATGGAATTACTGACCAGACCCCCTGCACTCATCTCCAGAGACCATGAATCTTCACCTCTTCTAATTGCAGAGATATATTCATCATACCCAGAGGAACAATGCAATTCTGACCGAGACATAGAACCAGCCAAGATTCTCCCACGCTATGGAATCTGCAGTGCCAGCTTGACTCACATCAACCTTTTCGTCGTTTACTGAGGCGGAGTCTACGGTGACCAAGCCCTAGCCATACACAAGGCAGCTATTCAGTACAATATGAACATATTTCTAGAGTGTTAAAGCAACCAAATCAGAAACAACTTGAAGCCCGATGAGACTTCATCTCACCTTCACCTCAGCTTGTGATCCGGCTGACGAAGCACGCCATAGAAAGAAGAATGCAACAAGTGATACACTAAAAAACCTGAGCATCAAAACCAAAGCCTGGAATTTCAAGAAGCAACCATTACAGAGCGATATGCAAACAAACACATACAAAAAAAAAGGAAAGAACCAGTTATACCCTTTTACTCTTCAACCCAAATTATCAAGTTACACAAACACCTCATATCAAAACGAAAAATCAATTTTTACCACAAAAACAATAATTTCGAACTCCCCGTATCGAAAAAAACAGAAACCACGCATATCGAAATCTGGCAAGAACCAGCCATACCCTTTTGCTTTTTCAACCAAATTATCAAGTTACAGAGACATGGGCAGCATTTGAGTTTTCATCTTCTCTTAACTGCAACTCAGGTTCAAATGTTTCATTCAAGTTGAAGGCCTTGTTATTTTTCCTTAGCTCCCTTTCTCTCAAGAGCCGTTCAACTCGAGTTGGTGGGATGTGGGCTGAATTACCGTTGTACTTGTTCCCAGGCATATGCTCTCTCTAGTAATGAACCCTGCCTTCTAACTTTACTAACACAAGCGATCCTTGAACAACTGTGTCCTACATTTCGTTTAAAGCAAACTAAGTCATCAAACATCACCAAGAACAAAAATCTTGTCAATTTTGGATGCCAAGAGCAAAATGCATAACACACTTGGTCAGAATAACATAAGAACATCTCTACAGCAGTTCATGATAATCTTGTCACAGAAACAAAAATGACAAGCAGGTCTACAGAAAAATTTAATAAAAATTTGCACAAGAACATGATCCGCAGTAAGAAAAATGAGGTCGACCATTATCCCCTGGTTTTTTAAAGTAGCAATTTAAAAACTCACATTCATAAAATCAACAGGAAAAAGGTTAAAATCAGGGGACGAGCATTTAAAAACTCACATTCACTACAAAAATCAGAAAACTCCTCGTTTGATAAGGTAACAAATCTTTATGTTCTTAAAATTAGAAAGCTCCTTCCCTAACGTGTTTGAACTAATATGGATGGTAATTACCTTGGAAGCGGAAGCAATGTGAGGTACCACAACAACATTTTTCAACTCGGCAAGCCCAGGCTTCATGTAAGGCTCATCCTAATGCAACTTCATTCACAAACCACTCAAATATCAGAGATAGCGTTCGAAAAAGGTTGAATACAACAAGGAATTAGGTGTGGTTTTTTACCTCGAAGACATCCAAGCCAACTCGAAACATGTGTGTATCTCTCACATTCATTTATACAAATATACAAGATGATAAGTGGTCTTATCCAGAATTAGGTGAAGGCTTATCTAGAATAAGAATTGGAAACCACACAATTAGACACGGTTTAAGTAAAACAAAAAAAGAGGGGTAAGGAGAGCGAGAGCCATACCACATCTGCTTCTCGGAGCATCTCCTCCGTGTTTGATGCTGTTTTCCAAGCCATCCATCATATAAGCCGGCCCTCATAAACTCATCCGCTTCAACTATTCTTCTGGCGGCCGATACTGCTGTAGTTTCTACTGTTGATAAGGCAAGACAGTGTTTTTCTAAAGAATTGTGCTTGAAATGCTTCTCTCTAAATTTAATAGTACAAAAGACTTATATGTGAAAAAAGCCGAAAAATATAAAGAGAGTGAAAAACTTACAAGTGTGTTCCCAACAGCAACTCCATACTTGTTTCCTGTTATGACTTTAAACATGAATTTCAATGAATGGGAAAAGGGGTAGAAGGTGAGTTTCATATGATTACATCACCAATAATAATTCTCGTTATCCTCTCACTATCCTTTACAAGTTTATATTAATCCTCATCCGAACTACAATAATAACTCTCGCTATCCTCACTACTATCATTTTCGGATTCCCATTCGTCTTCATCTTCGTTTGCCTCTTCCAGTGCATTGTATTGAGGCAGATCACCAAGGTCAATTGATATTTCGAATTCGGGAACTCCAGGTACGTCAAACGGTTCTTGGACAATATTAGTATCCCGGAGTGTTTCTTCACCAATTTCTATCGAAGATGATAACTGTTGGTCAGCAACGTTGTCGTCATTGTCGTCATGATCTACTTCTGGAATATCATATAGCCCTCTTCGATCAATCTTCTGAACAACTTTCCAACCATTGCCGGCTTTAGGGTCGTCTAGATAGAATATTTGTTTCGCCATTGTTGCCAAAATGTATGGGTCTTCATCGTACCAATGTCTCGTAGTGTTTACTGATAGTAGACCATGGTCTCGCTTAACACTTGTTCGGTTATGTGGGTTTGTATCAAACCAAAGACACTTAAATAGTATCACTTGACACCTGTCTTTGTAAAGCAACTGTACTACACTAGTTAGTTTGCCATAAAAATCAATGTCTTCACTGTCGCCCGCACCCGGGACATGAACACCACTATTTTGAGTAGACAACTTGTCATCACGTGTTGCCCCCAAGAACTTGATCCCGTTGACATGACAACCTGAGAACAATTCAACGTGAAGCGGTCCTCTCGCCAAGTTATATAATTCTTCATCGTAAGAGGGTGAATTCAAGGCCTTCAATTTGTTCATCTAATATAACATATACAAAAAGTTAACATGTTAGTGTAACCAAATTTAAAAGACGGGCATGAACAAGTTGGAAAATATGCTCAATTCAAACCACATACAACTTACATGTGTGTGAAACCATGAAGGAAACAAGTCACGGTGCTTCTTGGCATATAAATGTGAAGGATGTTCCCGCTTCATCAATTGTTCATGCTCTTCAAGGTATGGCAAAGCTTCATCACAATTGTTAAGTATGAACCAATGTGCTATCTCCATGTCCTTTTTGGTAAATGATTCACCTTTTACAGGATCGCCGAATGGTCGTGCAATTTGGGCAAAAACAGACAGTTTCTCTTTTCTGACACCACCGTCATTATTGCGTTGAGGACGATTGAAAGTTGTCTCAACATCTTCAAGATACATTGCACAAAAAGTAAGTGACTCATATGCGACCCATGCCTCCACAAGTGATCCTTCGGGCTTTGCCCTGTTTCGAACACACTTTTTCAACTCACCAAGATATCTGCACAAATAAAAGGTATGGTACAAATAATTCAAAGTGTTCGTTGATCATGAATCTGTTATATATATAGACGCTTAATTAAGTACCTTTCTATTGGATACATCCATCGACAGTTCACTGGTCCGGCAAGCAATGCCTCATCTGGCAAGTGAATCATCACGTGAATCATACTTGTAAAGAAAGCTGGGGGAAATATCTGTTCGAACTTGCATAAAACGTTCACAATGTCGTCCTGCAATTGTTTAACATCCGACTTCCGCAAACACCTTGCAGTCAATTGCGAAAAAAATCTCGACAACAACACGATTGGTTTCACCACATCAAGAGGCAATAAGTGTCGAATACCAACCGGAAGAAGGCGTTGTAGTATCACATGACAGTCATGACTCTTCATGTTTGAAAATTTACACCCCCTCATGTTCACGCAACGCGACATATTAGAAGCATACCCATCTGGAAACTTTACAGAAGAAATAAAGTTGAAAAACTCTTTTTTCCCATTCGGCTTAACTGTAAAAAAAGGATGGCCTTTCTTCAATGTACCACCAATTCTCTTCATCCACAAGGATGACCTAATGCCCATTCGTTCCAAATCGAGGCGAGCTTCGATCGTGTCCTTCGTTTTTCCTTCAATGTCTAGAATTGTCCCGACCAAAGTATCAAACACATTTTTCTCAATATGCATAACATCGAGGTTGTGTCTCATTTTTAACTTTGACCAGTACGGGAGCTCAAATAACATACTCTTGTGCGTCCAGTTCAGATGTGTAGTTCGTCTAGGCTTACTGACCCCTTTGCCGAAATGACCAAATTCCAAACAGTTTAATTGATCCAAAATCTCATCTCCGGACCATTCTCTTGGTCTTGGCCGAGTCTCTTTTGTGCCATGGAAAGCTTTATCGTTCTGACGCCACTCGTTGTCCCAAGGAAGCCATCTACGATGACCAAGATAACAAACTTTTCTTGCATGCCAAGAAGATGTTACGTTCTCCTTGCAT